CTCTGGAAAGCTCTTATGCAGAGAACTGTGGCAGATTAAATGCAGATCGCTTCCAATTGATTGTCAACATGTGTCAGTTAAGATAATGTCTGGATTAATTTACAATGGGGATTGTAAATTTGATTTGAGAAAAATTGGACACAAAATATGTTTATCATGATGATCTTTCCAGTTGCAACTGTAGTCCTTGTCTCTAAACAGTGTAAATAGTTAAAAAAACATTCTTCAGGATTAACAAAAAAAAGCCTTTTGATTACTGTAGCAGATTTTGTACTTTCACATGGTGGTTTTGATGCCATCAGACCTAGTGCATACATAGTCATTTAAATAAAAGAAGCTTTTTTTTTTTTCCTTTTTTGGAGAAGTTTTTTGCTATAGAGCCTGTTCACTCGCCAGAAAGACAGAGAGAGAGAGAGAGACAGAAAGTGAGAAATCACCCCCCAGGGAGGATGGCCATGCCGCAATCCCTTCTCCTCCATTCTCCTCTTGGGATCTTGGACACGTACACACAGGCGCCCGGTGTGAGTTTAAGCCACCGGGTCCGGGATGCAAACCGTGGTCGACTATAAGGGAGCCCAGCAACAGCCATTACGCTAACTGTAGGTCCCAATAAAAGAACCTTGAAGTTTCATTGCTTAGGGTTAAATACTAGCTCTGCCACTCTCTGGCTCTATGATCTTGGGCATGTTGTTTACTCTCTGTGCTTCAGTTTCTTTTTCCTATGAAATGGGCATAATGATAGACTACCTTATAGAATTTGGAGGGGAATTAAATAGTCACATGTCAGACACTTAAAATAGCATTTTGTATATAGTGTCTTCTTTTTATCTAAAGATTTTTTTTCAGCCCTTATTTTGCCAATTGGTGGATGATGGAGCATAATTTGCCTCTGCTGGTATAGAATATTCAAAGGTTTTAGGGACATGGAGTATATTTTCCACCTGAAGGGCTTTGTACATAGAAAATAACTAATTTCAAAAATTCAGTTCTTTTTCATGAGACCTTTTATCTCTTTATATATCCAACATTTTAATCTAAATATCACATTTATTTAAGGAGATGTGTAATGTGTGTTTTCTGGAGTCTGAATACTATAATTCAAATACTAACTACTTCATTAACTGTTTTATTGGGTAATGTACCTAACCTCTTCAATTGTTGGTGCTTTGCTCTACTAGATGAAGATAATAAAAAATAAGATATTGTTGTGATGATAGAATGAAGTAACCTATGCAAATAATTAAGCAAATAATCCTTCACATGGTAATGTGTTCAGTAAATGTTAACTACTATTAATAGTATCTCTACAATGGATACAAAAATATGTTATAGTCGATTATGTAGAGCATGAAATTATAAATGGATTTTAATATTTTCTAGTAGTATACTATAACTTTTTAAATGTTATTTTTAAATTTTTTTAAAATTTACTTTTAATTACTGTACATCTTTATAGTATACAACATGGTTTTGTCCAGCATGAATACATTTAGTCAAGTCAGATATTACCATGTACGTTATCATCATCAGATAACTTGCTTATGTCTATTAAATGTTTTGTTTGTTTTTTGCCCTGATCCCCTCTCCCCCAACCCCTTTTACCCACTCCTTTTTATACTAACTCTAGTATCCACAGTTGGCCTTCCTGGCATTATACATTCCAATCTTTCAGTTTCTGCTAAAACTTTTATATAATAGCTGAATAGGTAAAATTATAAATTCTGCTTAGAGAAATCCCATTTTACAGAGTCAAATTATAAAGGAAAACATTTCATACGTTTAAAAAGTTATATAGATGATCTCATTTTAATTCTGAAACACCTTTGTGAATTAAATAACTTTATCACTCATCTTTTATAGATGAAAAACTTGAGATTCAGAGAAGATAGAGATTCACCCAAAGTTATTCAGTCGACGAAGGCACTCAAACTTACACAACTCATCAAATGGGCAGTGGTCTTTCCACTCTCTATGCAAGAAAGAGATAGTCTTAGTAAAGGTAGAGAATAGCTAGTGATTTGCAATATTTCAGAAAAGCCATTTTTAGTTCAAGGAACTTATTTAGGTCCTGGTTTATTATTTTTTTCTTTTTAATTAAATTGTATTTACAGAAATAGGTGGCAGCTTGTCTACTCCTTTAGTTTTTAAAAGTTTGTTTTTGTTACATTCACTCACTGTACATCATTGCAGCATACAAAATGAATTTTTCCATACAGAATACACTGTATATTGGCTAAAATACATTACTATATATTTTATCTTCAACAGGTAATTTTCCATTTTGTGTTTTTTATGTGTTTTACTTCTTTTGTTTTCCCTTGATTTCCTCCCTCTTACCCTCTGCCATTTCCAATTCTTCTCCTATGCTGTCTCTGGTATGACTCGTCTCTTTGAAGAATTTACCCTTGACTATTCTTAGACAATATTTTTCTCTATATGCCTTATACACAGTTTATAAAATGGCATCAAAGACTTGTTTTTAAATTACAATTTACAGTGTTATCTATATAGGAAATTTTGTATATATACATATATATTTACATTTTTTAAATTTACATTTAATCACTATATACTTTACAGTGTACAACATGGTTTCTCTCAGCATGCATACAGCGCTTATTTGTTAATTTTTAATTATGATTACAAGGTTAGAGTTATTTGGGTGTTTTTCAAGACAAAAAGACTTTTTTTTAGTAATTGCCAGAGTGTGTGTGCTTGCCAAAGAGAGATAGTGAGACAGAGAGAGAGAGACAGAGAGAGAGAGAGAGAGGGCGGGGAAGAAAGCACTCCCTAATGGGCTGTTGTCAAATTTCAATTCCTTATCCTCCAGTTCTTCAACCTGTTGGGATTTTGGGCATGCATGAACATGTACCTGGTGTGATTTTCAAGCTATCAGGGCATGATTTGAACAGCAGCTGATCATGCAGGCTCTGGTTGCCTTAATCATAGGCTATGGAGCCTGCACCAACTAAGGATTTGAGGTTAATAGAGATCTCAATAATTTTTAAACTTTCCAACTATTTAGAGCAGCATACAGAAATGTATTTCTCTGTGTAGGTTGACCATGCCTTTCCAGGTCAATTTGTCCAGGTCCCAGTTTATAACTCAAACTACTTATTATTAATTTATAAGCATGAATTTTTGGTAAGCAGAGGGGCACTAGGTATCTTCAAAAACTTATGAAAATGTATATTATGAAAAAAACTATGGATAGAAAAAAATTTTGCACCCAAATAAATTTGCACTTTAATTCCACTTTTTACAAAATTCTAAAAATCTCCTCATGTATGTTTCTTTCAGTCACTAAAAGTATTTTAATATTTGAGATCAGCAGATGGTGTAATGATTAGGTTGCTGGACTACCACACATCTTACTATGGTTCAAGTCCTGGATCTAGCAGCTTGAAACTCATGCTGGTTGCCTGTGCATGCATGGAAGAGAAGGGATTGTGGTTTGGCCACCCCTTTGGATAGTGATTTTTTGCTTTCTGTCTGTCTGGCAAGTGTACATGCCCTGTAGCAAAAATCTCCTTGAGGAAAAAAGTGATTTAATTTTAATTGCATCGAAATTTTTAGTCTTATTTAGAAGTTGGAAATAGTCTTCCTCTTTTGATTAAATACCGATAGAATGTTACTTTTCTAAAAGTGGTCTGGATATATTATGTTAAAAATATTTGCTATTTGGCATCCAATCTAAAATTCTGATTTCCTGTTTTTATCTATAGCCTCAAAATTATTTAATTCATTAAATAAACAACTTAATTTTTTTTTTTTACCAAAAAAGAATTTCTGATAGAAGAGTTGAAGAAAAAGGGAAGAGAGAGAATGAGGGAGAGATAAAGAGAGAAAAGTGGATTAGGAAGAAACATTAATCCAACTGAAAATAAATCAGCTTCTCTAGATTCTTGTTTGAATGAATGGAGCTATAAGTAAGTGTTGGGATAACCAAGTGGCATAGTGGTTAAGGTGCTTTTTTAAAAATTCCTCTTATAAAAAAAATAAAGACTGTCACAAAATGTCATATATGCATCAGCAATGTGATAAGAAAATGAATAATGAGAAAAATCCCCATGAACTATACTCTAGAAATACAAAGATTTTTCTCTAACATAGCATCTTTTAGATAGTTTTATAAAACTTATTGTAATGTTTTACTTTTTTTTTTTTTTAATTACCTGAGTGTGCATACATTTGCCAGGAAGAGAAAGCGGAGAGAGAGAAAGAACTTTTCCCAGTTGACAAGAGATTTGACCATTTTTTGGGTATATTATAGTATTTTATTTTTATTTCTTTTTTTTATACAGTCATTTACCTTTTTTAGCTTACAAACTGAATATTTCACTATGTGAACGTTTCTCCCTAGTCCAGTTGGTTAAACTATAGAATATCTTCAACAGATAATACCACATTTCTTTGTCCCATTAATGTTTTGCCTCCCTATTTTTCTTCTAAATGTCCTTCCTCAGGCCCTGCTCTTCCACACACACTATAGCTGGTATTTATACCCATTTATTCTGTTTGTATATCATTTAGTCAATCAGTTTCAGACATAGAGTGTGGACACTATGTATATATTAAGTGGGGACATACAACGTCTCTCCTTCATATCCTGGCTTGCCTCACTCAGCAATAAATCTTCCATATTCTTCAACTTCATGTCAAAAGTGAGGGTTTTGTTTTTTTTTTTTTAATGGCTGAAGAGGTATCCCAGGGCGTTTTCGCGCACAGTATTTT